CCCCTATGACCTTTCGTCAGTTTAAATCTTGAAAGCTGTAGATGGTCTGCGGGACTTACCGCGATTTGTATGCAGACCGAATTCAGATCTGTCGAGTTGGGAAATTGAGCGAGGTTACAGACAATGAGTGCCAGCCATCCAATCAGGTAGAACAGACAAGATTGTAGCCTGACTCATGTGCCGGGAATTTAGGAGGAGCGAAACATTTAGATAGTTATGTAGCATACTCACAAGATGACGGCAATGACTCGGAGCTGTTTCGGTGTGCTTATTGTTAACGTTTGACAGTAGCCAGGCCACAGGATTTTACAAGCTATGGAAAACAAAACGCGTAGTTTGATCGTGTATCCTGCGAAATTAGAAGCAAAACTCACCGATCACAATCGTCAGGAACACATTTATGAGTAGATGGAAGAGAAGACATCCTATAGCCACGGCTTGTAAGAATCTCACTCGTGCGACGTTCAACAGTAAGTTTCTGATGTTCGAGTCCGTCGGCGAATGGATGTTGAATGAAGACCACATCTCCCCCAGACCCCACAGTCCGGATACCCCTCCTGCGGCTTCAAAACGCGGTCAGTGAGAAGTGTAGTTCGCGATTCACTGGACAAAAAATTTTACCATCAGATATGTAACAGCACGCAACCAGTAATATCGCATTTCTTCGCTTTTCCCATCTACAAATGACGAAACATCGGAATATCTATCGATCTCAGTCGCATCGGGGGGATATTCGAGGATTGACTCACCAAGATCGTATCCACAATCATACTGTTGGATGAACGGTCAACCAACGACCTAAGAATCGTTCAAAAGAACGTACTCACCCCATAGTCAACAAGATCACAAATCTACAAATTCTGTTGAATTGATATGTCATGTCAGTAAACCCACTAAACTCCCGAGAAACAAACGAAGTCCTCACTGTAAAACATTGCTGGTAATATGAGCCCCAAGTGTATACTCCAACCCCGATACCGCGCAGAACGCCCGCCTCACATCTAACAGATCCGTGGTGAGGCTTATCGGCACACTGACGGAGGACAGAACGAAGAGAGTGATGATTGAGTGTCGGCAAAACCGATTGCCGTCACTTTTCTCTCGCTCGCGCCTTCCCAACACTACGAGACCGATGCGAAACAAGAGGACGTTGAAGCCGTACAGGAATATATGGACCTAAAACGAGTCAGGAACATGGTAAACAGTCGAAAAAAGAATAACGCTCACTATAGATACTATGATGGGGAATAGGACGCTGAACTTGAACTGCTGCTCAAGAGCATCGTCATCTATTGGAGAAGTTACGGCGGTCGTGAAGTTCATGCTTGCCGAGGGTGAGACGAGGAATTCTGAGGATGTCAACTCGTTCTTACCATTCACATACTTATAACCAAATCATCCAAGTCCGACCTTGAGGTGTCATAAGTGAATCGACAGCCGTCTTGATTCTTCACTCACTGAAAATAGGACGGGAGGAAACCTGAACTACCTACAATGCCCGCAGAGTATGAGTTGGGGAATAGCATCGCAATGCCAGGAATTCCCCGCTCCCGCTCCCTGCGAGGTTGCATGCTAGCTGTCGAGAGTTCGCGGAGGCAAGATGGCTATAATCCAGCTGATCTTCGAAGTAGAGAAGCGAAGATGAGTCGAATAACGAGGGAACAGACATCCAGTCCGATGGTAAAGGAAGTCTACATGACCTAGAGACACAGTACGCAAGTCAGTCTGGGAGAAAAAGAGTTGGAAATGGCTCGAGGTCCCGAGTCTGAGTATCTAGTGGAGGAGCAGGAGTATATTACACGATATGGTCCACGTACTGAACGCCGGGTACGGGGCTTA